GCTCGAAGGAACTGGCTTGCCGGGGCAGTGACGGGACGGACTCCCCCAAACCACGTAAAGAAGGAGCTCGCCACGCGAGTCGGCGTCTCCTGTCCCCCACCAGCCATCGACAGCGCAGACCTTGCGTGGAGACGGAGCTCAGCCCACGCAACGGCTGATATTCACTGAGCACATCAGTTCCCATTTGGAATCTCCCACCCCACGGTCCCTGCTGGCTTTGCCAGTGCAGGGCTCCCCTTGGAAAGGACGCTGGCTGGGATCAGGCTGGTTAAACAAGGAGATTTCAGGAGCAATTCCTTGTGTCACATTAAAATGACCCCTGCTTTCAACTCTGCCAAGGAGGGGTGGGCAAGCCCGGAACATTATCATTGACCCAAACAGTGTCCACAGGGACGACTGCTCCGCGCCTCTAGAAATGTCTGTGCTGAACGTGGGGGCGAGAACTCGCCGCGCTCTGGGAGGGAACATTGGCTCCACGCAGACAATCGACTTCCGGGAGAGGGGAGCTAGGAGTCCCTGGATGGGACCAAGGGTCAGCCAGACCCTCGTGAGAAGAGGCAGCGTGATGTCATAGGGCGGTGGTTTTCAAACGACGGGTCGTGATTCAGGGCTGGGGGTGGAATGTCGGGCGCTGGGTCTCGTGGCTGCAGGGGGATCAGGTGAGCAGCGTGGGGTGGGGAGGAAGGGGGGGGGCTAAGGCAGCTCCCTGTCTGTCCCGGCACTGCAGGCTGTGCCGCACCCCAGAAGCAGCCGGCAGCAGGCCTGGCTCCTAGTTCTGCACCCCCATTGGCTGGGAATCTACTGCCAGCTGCTTCTGGGGCACAGCAGGGTCTGCAGGGCCAGGAGAGGCAGGAAGCTGCCTTAGCTCCCCCGCTGCACCCCTGACTGGGAGTCGTTCAAGGTAAGCCTCTCCTGCCCCCGCCCTGCAAAGCCAGAGCCCCCTCCTCCACCCCATAGCTCTCCTCCTCAGCCCCACGCCAGAGCCCACACTCCAGTCAAAGTCTGTTGAGTCGCGGCATCAACGATTTTCTTCAACTGAGTCATGAGAAACAAAGTTGGAAAACTGCTGCCATGCGGGACGAGTGGAGGCGGAAGAGAGGGACCTACCGCAGCGACGGCAGTTCACGGGGAGCCAGGATTCCTGGGTTCTATTCCCAGATGTACGAAGAGAGTGGGGCCTAGTGATTAGAGCAATGGGCTGAGAGCGCCGGTTCCTGTGGGGTGCTCCTGAGCTCACTGTGACCTTGGGGACGGGGTTGCTGTTCTCTGTGCGGACACCTACTCCCCTGGGGGCTGCTGGGCCTAAGACAAGTCAAGTCTAGGAAGAGCCTGGTCTGGGAGGTACCAGACAAGGGCGAAGTGATGTTATTACCCCATGGCCAGCGAGTGTATTCATACAATTAAAGGGCACCGTTCAAAGGAGAGAGAGACCCCAGAGCTGTATGACTGGCACTCGCACACGGATGCCAACCGGGCCAGCAAGCGGCTCCCTTAGCAACTGGCGTCCTTCCTGCTCGGAGCTGAGACCAGCATGAACGCAGGGTGCTCAGCGCCTGCCCGGCGCATCCTGCAAAGACCCCAGCCCTGCCGCGTGTGGGGGCGCAGAAGCAGCTCCCACACAAGCCCGCCTTCTCGGAGGGCCCAATCCAGCTCTCGCTGACGTCAATAGCAGGTTGGATGTGGACCTCGACGGGGCTCTTGAACGAACACCTCGGCTAGAAACGCCCAGCAATCCCAGTCTCCAATGGCAGAGGCGCCCTCTACGGATGTCCCTGTGGGATTTACCTGGGTGTTGTCTCTAACCCTCCTCCTACCCACACCCAAAACTCTCCTGAGAAAAGTGGCGCTTTCCCGCCGGCCCAGCTAGGGGCTGGCTTAGAGCAACCTGCCCACTTTACTGGGAGGACGCAGGTTCAAACCCTCAAGGGCTGATTGTTCTCCCCCAATTCCACCCATGTGTCCAGAAGGGACAGACACGCGGCATCCCACAATGCACTGGGAATCAGCTGACTGCAGCAGAAAGAACCAGGGAGCTGGGCCTCGCCGGAGAAGTCCTTGCGGCACACGAGGGAGAAGCATAGCTCCAGTAAGGACACAGGAACTCAGCCCCTTGGCAGTGGGGCTGCTAAGCCCTGGGACTAGGCCAAGCACCCAAGCTAACTGCAACCCTGCACACTGGATGGGCCCTGCTCTCTTGATTCCTTCCCCAACAAGAGGCGACCTCCTCGTTCCTACTCCAGTTCCACCTGAAAAGGGTCGTTTTGGTGGGAAACTCTTCTCCAACAGCCACGAAGGATTCCCTGCCCTGGGAGACGGACTCCCAGACATGTCTCCCTCAGCCAGAGAGCTACTACCAGACCCGTCTGCCTTCTCAGGGCTGACAAGAGACCCAAACTGCCCTCCACCCTCTACAGACTTGCTTTGCTCTCACCATTTTTTAAGTGCAAACTGTTGACAGTGAGAGAAATCTAGACTGGAAGCAGAGCTTCTCCTTCTAGCAGTGCAAATTCCAGGTTAGTAGCATCTCCCTCTACTCGGACCTCAAGCAGGACAAGGGAGGCCTCGAACCTCCAAGAGAAATCTCCAGGCTACATCCGTCAATGCCCAGCTGTGTCCTGAACTGTATGATCCAAAAGAGCCAAGAAATAAGAGAGTGTCTTAATTTTATAATAGCACCTTCCACCCCAAAGCACTCTATAAACTCTAGCCACAGAGAAAACACTCCACTAGGCACTGTAAGATAGCTCCCAGCTCTGGGCAACCTGTACACAGCAAACTTTACAACAGTGTTGGGGGCAGCGGTGGGAATGGCTCACCAAACACATCAGCACAAGCCCTCATCTCATGGCAAGATAGAACGTCAGCTGTCATGCGAGTGACCCGCAGGCATTAAACAGCACACAGAAATCAACCCTCTCTCCTGGGAAAAGAGAAATGCTGGGTGGACCCTGTTAGGAGTTGAACCTGTAGTTACCGAGCATCTAGGTAGTTTGAAGCTGATACTTAGAGCTCTAAGCAAGTCCCTTCCATCTTGCAAGAGTGGATCAAAGTTACCCCTGACCCAAACCCTCTGAAGCTGGTGTACAATTAATCCTCAGCTTGTTTTCACCTGCATCCAGAGTGTCCAGAATTATTCCCTACTCCCCTACACTATCACTAGAGTCACACCACATAATTTGCCCCACTGGGTGTACTGGAATGTAAACCATATAAAGAAAACATATCAGTGAAATTACAGCAATTACAACTTCTGCTCTTCCTTTGCTGGGTTTGTATGTTTGATGATGTTATAACCCACTGGAGAATTATTCCTTGGAGGAATAGACCATTAACGGGAATCCACTGCTCTACCTCTGCCCAAACAGACCCACCCAGTCAGCACCCCAGGGCTCCTCCTGGTTCAATAAGGGACATGCCTGAGTTACGTCCATGGGGACTCCCATTGAAATCCAGTTCAGGCATGTGCTTCCTTGCTCAAGCAGGGCCTACAGTCCGAACTCATCCTCTGTTCCTAGACAAGAAAAGAGGAGCAGGCACTGAATCAACACAGCTGAGGACCTGGAAGGGTGTGTATTTGTGGGGATTGCAAAAACCTGAGCAAGTGCCAGTCCTATTCCCACCCGTGTATCATCACGGCTACTCCAACTCACCAGTGTATCATCACAGCTAAGTCCTCCGCTGCTTAAGAGAACATTCCTCTAGCTCTTCTCTAGTCCTCGCCTTCAAAGCACTTTCTCAACCGTAATGAATCAAACCTCACATCCTTCAGGACTCATTATGCCCTTGACTTTGGGAAGGGGTGTAAGGAGGGACCTATTCTTCCAAGCAATCTAAGTTTCTTAATAGTTACTCTCCCACTGGGTGTTTTTTCTTTCCTGCAGTTACTACAGAACGTTCAAAACCCTTTGCATTATTTCTAATCCATGTGCTTTATCCTACATGACTTCTCTGGCTAGCAGAATGAAACAGATCTCCTGCGTTCCATACCTACAGCGATTTGGCTCAGGACAGCAGGTAGAGTATTAACTAGGAGCTGAACCAACCAAGACCCCTCTTCACCCCTCCACTATCCAGCAGTACGTCAGAGCCTTGCAGCTTACAATTAAGAGCTTTTGCAGAATGGGTGACAACGTCAATCGATTCCAGATTGGACAGAGCCCTCAAGAAGATGCCATAGGGAACAACCCACCCTCCAAATGATGAGAATGGATTACGGGCTTGAGCCCAAGACTACTTCTGGGCAATGCTTCTGAGGTTTGGATCGGGCCCTTCGATTCTTAAAAGCTTTCATTTCTAAATTCTAGGATACATTGGGAAAGAGGCATGTTTATCTGGAGCAACAGGACTTAATGTGCCCAGTCCTTGCTGTTCCTGTTCTGACCATTTTAGCACCGTAAACCGAATTGGAAGAAGATGGGATTGGTAAAAGGCCAGGTTATTTAAAAAAAATCATTCCAGAATGACTAGAAAAGATTACAAACAAATTCCAGAAAAGATCTGTAGAGATGTACAATGCCTCACATCCTACTCATTTCAAGCAAGCCATTTTAACATGTTCTTTACATATTAGAGCTTTTCTCAGAATAGGAATGTATTATATATTTTTAGAGAAAGATAAAATAAAGATATTTACTACAGGATTTGATTGTCAGCAAACACAATATATTTACTGCATTAGCATTTGCTCACAGTGCAAATGGTACAACAATACATCAGTTCAATATTTCTGATTTTTTCCTTAAAAATGCTGTATGCATTAACTATCATATTTGCATTACAACGTGACAAATGAGCAAATGAAATGTGTGTGAAAATTATCACCTTTTCACAATATCAAGCATATTTTTTAACCTTAGTATAAGGTACTATAAATCCAAGAAATAAAAACATCCACAAAATATATTACATCTGGTAGGTCTTTTTTTTTTCTCTAAGTACTCAACTTTATACAAAAGTCTTTCAAAAATATCATTCCCTTAGGTTTGCATGGTTAAACCTGATTTTTTTTTTTGCTCCTTTCAGTTCACATAAATTAGACTGCATTTTTTCCTCTTCTCCTTTATTTTGTATGGTTTTTGTTTTGATTTTGTTTTTGTTTTTTTTATTAGAAAAAAAGATCACATGCAGACATCAAACCTGAATAGCACAACCTTTTGGCAACAAATATTTTTTAAATAATTATTTTTGCTTAGTTTAGCTTAAATGTCTGAGCACAGTTTTATTAAAACAAAAGAAGAAAAAATCAGAGCAGGCATGCAGTGACATGCACATACCAGAAGGAGAAAGAAAAAAAAATAATATTGAGGGTTAACTGATTTCTCCTCCCTGTGTTTTTAAGTGACCAAATAAAATAAAAATATCTCACATTATAAAAAGTATTCAGCAAAATACTGTTTTCTGCATTTCTGTAAAGAATTTCCCTTCTGCTGAAAATATGTTAAATCAGCCTTACCCTTCCCCCCCCTCCAACATTATATTGTCAACCCAGAGTAAGCTAGGAGTACCTGGAAATTCACAACCCACGCCCCTTTTAGTTTCTTTTGAAAGATCTAGATAGCTAGTCCTTTTAAATCCACCACAGAAAAATGGTGCTTTGAACAAAATATAATAAAGGGGGGAAAAGATGCATAAAGTGACTTTAAATCAGACATCCTGTAAACTTAATTACTGCCCCTGCCCTCCCCCACCCGAACAGTATACTAGCCATAGGGGGAAAAGATTGAATAGGTAACAACAGTACATTCAGTCAGATCTTTGATGAAAGCTGCTAAGCAGCCCTACTAGCTCCCTCTTTCTAAGGGTTCAATTGAGCCCGTACATTCAGAGCTGCTTACAGAGGACAACTGGGAGGTGGATTTGGGTGTGATAAAAGAGGATTTTAGTTGAATACAAATCCCCCATCTTCCCTCTGGAGGAAAGTTTGGAGTGACTATTTTACTCCTCACAGTTATTTTCTCTTCTCCAAAAATTAAACATTAAAGCTGTAAATACTGATATACCTTTATATATGGTCGGTACTGTACTAGAAAGCCAATAGTGACATTAACAAATACATACTGTATATATTTTTATTATTATATTTTAATTCAGAACTGCTGTCGAGATGGTAACAAGAACAGAAATGGCAACAACCTCTTTTCAGCCAGATGGAAGGGGGAAAAGATGTTTCTCCTCCCTCTTCCCAAGGTTTTTCTTACTAAATGTGACATGAAATAAAACACCAAGTGGAGTGAAATGGTGAAATTTAAGGGGTGGGGGGTTGCCTCTTTCTTTCTTCCTTTCTTCCTTCCAGAAGGGAGGACGCATGGGTGGAAGAGGTGGGAGGAAAGGAGACAGGGGATGAACCCGCAAAGGAAATCGGTTTAAATAATAAACCGCATGAAGATAAATCTGGAGCAGCCAAGAGCTGATCCCAAAAGCCATATCCCTTCTCCAGCACATCAGAGAAAGTGCCTCGAAGACCAGTAGTGAAGAGACCAGGAAAACCATCAAGGCAGAGGCTCCAAGAGGGGGGCCGGGAGACCAGAAGCAGCAGCAGCATCCTAGGCATTTCTGTAAGAAACACTGAGATCAGATGGAAGGCCACCCGTGCCAAAGATACCCAAGGTCCCCGCCTGCGTCCAGGAGGCGGCTGGGTTCTCTCCATGCGCCAGAGTCCTTTGGGGGTGGTTGGAGATCGAAGCAGCCCAGTTCAACTCGGAGTCACAGACACACACAGGGATGCACAGTCTCAACGGGCAGCAAGCACTGCGCTTTGGTGCCCCTCCACCACCTCCAATGAGCAGCGGGGAGGGGGGGGGGAGGAATGGGGTGCGCGTATTTGGAGAGGGGGGCGCTTCCCCCGCAGCCGTCACCACCACCCTCGCTGGCACCGCATGCCTTTCCACAGCCCTGCAACCCCTCGCCCGGCCCCCCCAGCTCCGGGGTGGGGTCGGGTCCCCCCTTTCCCGCAGCCGATTCGGATCAAGACGATCCGATGGAAAGCGAAGTCCCCACCGCGGTGAAGCGGGGACAGGAGGGGAGGCGCACGCACTGTCTCTTGGCGAGGGGTCCCCGTCGGTGCGCGTTTGCTAAAGGCAGCCATTGGGAGGCACTAGGGCCGGGGGTCGGGGCGGGGGGCTTCACGCGCAGGTGGTGACCACCGGGGCCAAGGACACGGGCGGCGAGGAGGAGGCGGAGGAGCCCTTCTCGGCCTTCTTCTCCTTCTGCTTCAGGTGGATCTTGGCGTGCCGCTTGCGCTCGTCGCTGCGCGCAAACTTGCGCCCGCAGAACTCGCAGGCGAAGGGCTTCTCGCCCGTGTGGGTGCAGATGTGGGGGGGGGGGGGGGCGCTGCGGCTGCCGAAGCTGGGGTGGATCTGTTTGTCCTTGAAGGCTTTGATGGTCTCCAGCGGGGTGATGGGGGGAGGGTTGACTCGGATGGGATCCAGGCTTTGGAAGGGTTTGTGCTCCGGAAGGGCGCCCATGTCGTTGGGGTGGTGATAGAGGTTATAGTCTGGGATCATGGGGAAGAGGTTACTGTCCAAGCCGGGCTTGGCGGTTTGGTAATCCGGTGGATCTGTTTGTCCTTGAAGGCTTTGATGGTCTCCAGCGGGGTGATGGGGGGAGGGTTGACTCGGATGGGATCCAGGCTTTGGAAGGGTTTGTGCTCCGGAAGGGCGCCCATGTCGTTGGGGTGGTGATAGAGGTTATAGTCTGGGATCATGGGGAAGAGGTTACTGTCCAAGCCGGGCTTGGCGGTTTGGTAATCCTGGGGGGAATAGGTGAGGCCGGGGTTGCCTTGGGGGTCGTGGAAGGAGACTGGCTCCGAGTAGAGGTCACTGCAGGTGGAATACGGGGGCAGCGCGGGGTACATCTGGTCCACCTCGCCCTGGTTCTGCACCATGCTGGCGGCGGAGTTCTGGGTGCTGGTGATGGCGCTGGAGGAAGGCGGCACCCCCAGGATCCCCGCGCTCATGAGGCTGATGATGTTATCCTGACACCAGTTGGACGGGGAATCGAAGGCGAATTTCCCCAGGTAGGTCACAGTCTTGTTGCCAGGGGCGGGCTGGAAACTGCCCGAATAGGACGACAGCTCCTGGCTGGTCTTTTCGTTCGCTAATCCAATATCCATAACATTATCTGCCGGAAGGAAAGAGAAGCGGGGTGAGTAACCAAGGCGCGTCCGAGAGGGGAGCAGGCAACCATGGGGAGGGGGAGGGGGGCTAGTTCGGACAGGGCCGTAGGGAAACCGGGGTCTGGGGAGGGGCGAGAAGTTCCCAGGCGAAGGGCCTTCTCCTAGGACTGCGGCTCCATCCCCAAACCGCCGGGAAGAAGCAGGAAAACGGAACAGCAGCTTAGCCGTGCATGGCGCACACACATCCACCCATGGGGACTTTCGGTCAGGCCTGGACACACACGCGCGCGCACCCCCTGGGTTCACACACCAGCCCCTCCCCAGGGGGACTCACACACCCCGATCGCGGGGACACGGCCACACAGCCACGCACGAGACAGCTCCACGAAGACAGACAGCCTAAGGTGCGACAGCCCCACGCGCGCGGACTGGAGACCCCGCGGCGTGTTGTCGGCTACGGCCCAGGCAGCAGCCCTGCAAGGTGGGGCAGGAGGAAGCAGGTACCTGAAGTTACAGGTAGGCTGAGGCTGCCAAGAGCGACCTGGTCTCTCTACTGGTGTCCAGGGGCTTTGCCACCCCAGCAGGGGACTCCAAGGACCCGTATCCGGCCAGTGCCACCAGGCGCTTTACAAACTCGCCGTGTGTTCTGCGTCCAGCCCAGGTAGGAGAGATACAAGGGAGTTTTAGAGAGGGCAGATCGGCACCGGCTTGAACAGGCACCACGCGAGAGCCGTCGCGCTTCGGATCCGGGGCCGGAGGGATGCAAAGGCGGCGGCGGGGGCAAAGCGGATCGGACCCCCTCCCCCAAGAATTGGAGTCAGAAGAAACCAGAGCAGCAGCAGCCGGGGCAACTTCAGCGGCACCCAAGTACTCCTGGCCCGGGAGAGGGACAC